GATGGGGCACTTGTTGGCCGTGCCATGAAACAGTGTGCACGCACTTCTCCACCATGTGTCCCACACCCTGGTACATCAGAGGCCTGAGAAATAGTTGTGGAAGGGAGGCAGGCTGGCGAGGACAACAGGTGTCACGACTTGAAAAGCCTCAACTCTGCGGGATCAAGACTGTTGCTGTGACCCTGCCAGACTAGGAAAGTCACTGATTGTCCTCGAGCCCCAGTTCTTGACATTCCTTCTCCCAGGACGACTACCAGGGGCCAATCAAGAGTGCGCATGCAAAAGTGTGCTGCTCCCTGAACTATGCAAGACTACAGAAAAAGCAAGCATGGATCTCACTGATCACACACAGAAGAGCGCTTGATTTGAAGGCCACAATCATGCCAGGGAGTTAATGACAGGCCAAGCCCGCTTTCACAGAAAGTGAAGTGTCGCTCAGAGAGGTCCAGTGGCTTGCTCACTGGTCGCACAGTGAAAACAAGGAAGAGCAGGAGACACAATGGGACACAAACCTAAGACAGAGAGTGCCAGAAGTCTGAGGTGTTATTTTTGGGTTTGTTTGGTTGTTGTTGTTGCTAAGTTAGGAATATTTTTGCACAGCTGGATCTTCGAGGGGAATTAGCATGCCATGGCCATGGCCAGCAGGGAGGAAGACTGACCTACGGCATACCCGCGCATCATTCCTAGATCTAAAGAGTCTACGTGAGCCCATCTTGGGGTCTGATCATGGCAAGCACTGAGCCCGTGTTTACTGAACAGGACAATGCCCATTTGGGGGCCATGTTAAGACCTTGGGCCATAATAGTCTTGATGGGGCAGCGCAAGGCCCCGCTGACGGAAGGCTACACAGGACGTGGGATTTTACTATAGGCTGCTCCTAGCCTGGCTGCTGCTAGAATCATTAAGGCTTTTCAAGGCAGGGTAGGGGCTACTGCTGTGTGCACTTGGAAGGAATTCTTATGCTATAGTTCTAGAATCTGATACACATCAGAAGAGGTCAAAATGACGACTTTTTTCCATAGGTTCTGCTCCGAAAGGTGTCTGTCTGCTTTCTCTATAACTTCTGATGATTTGCGTCTTGAAGTCACCCCGATCTCCTCCAGCACCATTCCAGGCTTTTGTTGTGGTGACTGGGCAAACTGGATCAAGGGCATCCGAATCAGTCAAGGCTCCTCTGGCTGTTTTGGAACCTGACATTGAGCAGGTCCACGGCAGTCCATAGCAGGCTGATTAGATTTCCAGTTCTGCAACCTGCTCCCTTGCCTGACCGTCCCTCAGGCTCTCTGGTCAGAAGTCGATTCTGGGTGAAGGCAGTCAGGCTCCTGGAGAATCAAGCTGGGAGAGTGGGAAATGGGCCCTGCTGCTGTTGCTGCTGCTGTCTGTAGCTTGGATAGCTTTTCCAGAACTGAGCACACCAAAGCAAGTGATTCATCTGCCTCTGAGGTCTTCACTGAACTTTTCTGCAGGAGCGCTCTTGGCATGATGGCAAGCAAGCAGGCTAGCAGACCTCTACAGGCGATAGGAGCACACACATCACGTGCGCCTCTAGCTGAAATGCTTTGGCAGCAAGAGCGGGAGGTAGAAATCCGAGTGCAAAGAGGAATGATAGGCAAGAGACCTCGGATCTAACTAACTAAGGACACGAAGAGAGTGGCAGACCCACAGTCAAAAGTGGGGAATTCTTTTCCAGACTCCATTGTCTTGGCTACATTGCATCACCATATTTTGACATTGTATCTTCATTTGCAAGGAAGGCAGCTAACATTTATTGAGTAAACTTCATTGTGCCTGGCATTGAATTACTGTGTGTGTGCTAATCTCATTTCAAAACTTTAGCAAAACACGTCTACTTACATACTCTTTCCACTTAACATATGACTCTACCAAGGCTCGTCAAGCTCAATTAACTTGCAACATTCCCCACCACAGAAGACCTCAGGTATGAACCAGAGCACATACCATTATGTAGCTCTTGGTGTTTCTTTGAGGGTCAACTTTATCAACACAGTCTCCACGTTTCCCTGGTACACAGTAGCTCTTGACCAGCATACCGGTTAGTGGTATGTATTTTTTTTCTAGATTATCTTTACAAATTTTTACTATTGGCATAGGGGGCTGGCACACGTGCCACATTGACCATGTGGAGGTCAAACCAGAGGAAAACTTTCAGGGGTTGATTCTCTCTTTCCCCCTTTAGGTGGGCCCCAGAAACCGAATTCATTTGCACAGCAAGTCCTCTTCTCACTGGGCCATCTCACCGACCCTGCTGTGTACCTTGCCTGGTGTTTCTCTGAACTATACCATGGCTTGATTGAAACCTATTTTATCGACATCATTGCTTATCCTATAATGAAGGGTCCAGCACAAGAGTGTGTCAAGGAAACCTGGGGACCCAGGGAACATTTCGGTGAAAACATCAAGGTGACAATGGTAAAGGGACAGGAACACGAAGCACTTGGGAATAGGTGTGAAGAGGAATTAGGAATGTTGGGACCTGTGCAGGAGGCACGGACTTCTGTTTGGGAAAAGAAAGACAGGAAAGAGAGAACAGCCTCTGGAGAAGCCGCTTTAACACTTCCTTTGCCCATCCTGGGGCCTGAGAGAGACCAGGGGCTGCTCCATGTACAAGACTGTGGACACTTCATCTAGCTCACTGTATGAAGATGTTTGTAGGGCCACAGTGTTTGAGTTCAACGGCAATCTTGAGGAACTGTGAACATCATTTGAATTTTATAGATGAGGAAACTGAGGGTGATGGAGACCCATCTTTCACTGGATTCCCATTGGGAAAGGTGTCTAACGCACTTTCTCCTGTGTGCCTGAGAGCAGCCCCCAGCACACGCTGGGGATAACACCTGGTAGAGCATCTGAACAGCATGTGACGTACCTGTCCTGGACCTGTTCTTATCACAAGACTCCGAGATTATAACGTGCTCTCTTAAAGTATTCAATTAGCCAATCCCCTATCTATCAAGAACACCTGTTCAACCCTCAGCAAGGCATACTCTACAATTATCTGCCTTCCACAACAAATGCTCCTTTCAGGAAAAGCCATTCTTCCCGGAGAACTCATTCCCACAACCATCAATTGGGAGCAATAGTAAACAGAACCTTTCATTTCTCAGCTTTGGAACCGAGATCCTTAGTGAACCTTCCCAAGCTACTATGGCTGTCAAGTGGGCTGTTTTTCTTTTAAAGATTGGAAAGAATTCTACAAGTCCCCCCCCCTCCCCGACATTGCCCAAATTCAAAACGTTGATTAAAAAACAAAGAGGGTGTTTTAGAGTTCACAACCAAGTTCCAGAGTAGGCAAGTCACAAGAAAAACCTGTGCTAATCAGCAGGTTAATTGTCACAAGCCAGACCAGGCCAGTTAAGCTAACCACCTACCCCATCCAGTTCATCCAGAGAGGCTAGCCACCCTGAAATGCATATCTGAAAGCTGGGGAGGGGGCTCTGCAATCCAGGCATAGGCTTGAAAGCCCAAGTTTTACTAGCTAGAGGCTCTGCGGCTACGTCTTTTATCTAAGCCCTCTGTAGGTTTTCCATCTGCATAATGGGGATAGCAGGCCAAAGTTCCCCCTCCAAGCTAAGTTCCACAGCAAAGCAGCTCAAGCATCTACAGGATTTATGGGCCTAGTGGCTGCCTTGCCTCTCCGGTTCAGCCTCCTGGCAGGAGTTCAAGGGCAGAGTACAAACTTAGAAGATGCTGGAGGGGTAGACAGATGCCGTAAACCTCACAAATCGTAACACAGGCTTTCAACGGATGACCCTCCCCTTCTCCGGCCTCAAAGGGGCGCAGTAAAAGAAGGTAGGGCCTAGGTGGACCACACCCAAATGCCCACAAGCTAGCACTGACTGCTCCAAAGGATCCTGGACCTTGTCACAGCCCCTGTGTGGCAGATTTCTGCAGCATCGTTCACAAGGGCTATATGTCCTTTAAGGGAAGCACAAGTCAGGATGGACTTTATATGGATACCCCAGCAACCTGTTCAGCAATTAAGAGTTTGCAAAGTCTTTTAATACTCATTGTGCTGATAGTTTTGTGTTGACACCAGCTAGGGTCATTTGGGAAAAGGAAATCTCTACTGAGAGAATGTTTCTACCAGACTGGCCGGTTGTGGGGCATCTCTGACTGATGACAGATGCGGGAGGGCCCGGGTCACTGTAGGCAGTACCACCCCTGGGCTGTGGGGTCCTGGGTGCTGTAACAAAGCAAGCTGAGCAAGCCATGGAGAGCAAGTCAACAAGCAGCATTCCTCCATGGCCTCTGCTTCAGTTTCCCTCTCCAGTTCCTGCCCTGACTTCCCCCAGTGTTGGACTGCTACCCGGAAATCTAAACGGAAATACACCCTTTATGCCCCAAGTTGCTTTTGGCCACGGTGTTGCCATAGCAGTAAAAATTCTAAGACACTCTTGGTCTTTTTTAGTTTAGTGTGATGCCTCGAGGCAGCAGGCTCCTCAGTTTCAAAGATTCACGCTTGCTGGTCCAGGGTGGGGTCTGCATCAAGTGCTCTGAATTCCAAGGCTTATTTATCTTACCACCATAGCCACGGGGTAAGAAAACTAGTCTGTAGGCTGGCAATCTGCACCACCACCACCACAATTCAGCAAAGGGGGAGGCAAGAGCACAGAAAACACCTTGGCTAGCTGACAAGGATGGGACTCAGCCTCCGGACACAGTGGCTCAGAGTGGAAGAGATGTCTCAGATCCGATCTCAACTGAGTCTTACTCTACAGACATTTAGAGAAGAAAACCAATATTTAAACTCCACGAGATCATCATGAGGATAGAGAACGTTAAATACTTTTTAGAAGGTGTTTCTAAATGTTTGTTTATCTCCTCGCAAACAGTATTAGCTGCCCAAGGCAAAACAACACTGGATGAAGTTTTCTTTGGTGGAAGTCTCTTTTGGCTGGTGGCAGCCTCCAAGGGCTCAGATAGGCTGCGGTGTGACACAGGAGGCAGTCAGATCAGTAGGGCGGAGGCAGGACACTTACCGCCAGGATGGCGATGACGATCCCCACGGCACAGAGCACAGCGTCGTTTATGGTCTCACTGACTTTCAGGGGGTACTTGATGCTCTCGTCGTTGCAGTAAAACCCGCGGCGGTAAGGCTTAATGGTGCTTGTCTCGATGATGAGGAAGGGCAGAGCCGCTGGGGGAACACACGAGGGGAAGGAGAGAGAAAAGAGAGATCAGTGCAAGGAGCCTACGGCAGAGACTGCCCCAAATGTCAGACAGAAATGCTCCGGCCATTCCTTCATCTGTGGGATTCTGCGGCCTCTGAGAAGCCTTCATGACGTGTATCCCCTCTCCCCATTCATCACCCCAGGAAAATGGCTTCCTTCTCCCTTTTTTTGTTCCTTGCGGTAGTGGAGGAGTTGGGAAAGAAGTCTTCCATACCCTGCTAAAAAGTTAAAACCAGGTTTTAAAGAAGGAGCAACGCAACCCAAGACTGTTGTGTTGGGTTAGGTGTCCAGGGTGACGTCTCCTGGGCCCTAACAAACCACCTCTACCCTGAGAAGCTCATCTGAAGGCCAAGCATGTTCCACACAGTTGTGCAGGCACCAGAGCCCTAGATTCACCATTTCCTAGCTACGTGGCTCCCGACCTCAGTCCGTCCTCCTCAGCTCAGTCACCTCCCTGTAAACGTGCTTCGTGAGCAGTCCTTTCCTGTACATAAAGCCTCTGGCAAAGGGTCTGGCTCAACAGTCACCATTTTTCAAGTCTTTTCGCTCACTGTTCAGAGAGGTAGACTAAAGTTGAGTTCAACCCTTCCACTGATATCCCAGATAGCAGCCCCCCAGGGCACAGGAAGTACCAGATCGTCACAAAAGTCACAATGAATAGATTTTACCACCTGCCCAGAAGTTCTTCAAAGCCCAGAAGCATAAGCAACTGTCCACCATATTAAGTCTGGCAGGAATACTACAGTCACCTCCTACCAGGGTGCCTGGCCCACAAGGCCTCCTGCACACAATCACTAGTTCACTTCTTTCTGTTTTGGTTGTTGTTTGAGACAGGGTATTGTTATGTAGCTCTGGCTGGCCTGGAACACACAGAGATTCACCTGCCTCCGCCTCCCAAGTGCTGAGATTACTCCTGGCTGGTTGAAAGACTTGAACCATGAACATGCTAGTGCCTTGGTAAAGCGCCACCAATGGTTTGCCACGGCCATGAGTAACACAAAATCTTTAGCCCCATCCAAGAAAAGAACCTCTCTCCTTCAGCCTCCAGTCTTCCAGTCCTCTGGACACCAAGGAAACAGGTACAGGGTCTGGCTCACGCCATTCCAGAGGCTAACAACTGTCCAGGAGTTTATCACGTTAATGCACTGAACAGCAGGGTAACCCACAGGTCACTGTAGGACATCATTTCAGCACCACCCTTCCCTTCTTCTAGGGAGAAAACAAGAGGCTCAGAATCTTTAGCTCCTGTAGGGCTTTTGAAGCCTACCCCTCCAAGCGCCTAAATCCCTAATTTAACTCAGCAAATTGCTTTCATTCAAATGTGAAATTCATTAGTGGGGAAAAAAAATCCCAAGATAAGCAATTGTTTAAAAGATAAAATTCCCTTTTCATTTTTTTTTTTAAATTCAATTCATGTCACGTTACTCAAACTCCCAGACCGCCTCTGAAAAAAAGTACCACGAACTCCCACAATTTTTCAATTACTCTGGGCCAGACCAGCAGCGATAAAAACACCGGCTTTCCAAAGCGTGTATTTATGTATCGCAGCGCATACACACATGGATTTATTTGGTTTTATTCTTTGGATTTATTTGAATTCTACGGCTATTTATTTTGTGACCCCCTAACTGCTTCCTGCTAGAACAACAATTTACTTTATCAAATTCATACTGGCGCTTTGGAAAGAAGCACAAGCAACACACCGCAGTATCGGGCCTGACCTTCTCAAAGTAAACACAGAGGGGCCCTGAAAGGCAATAACCATTAACTTTAGAAACTCTCTGCCCTGGAGTAGGGGGTGGGGAGGCAGTGGATAAATACGTTGGTGTCGCAGTAACAGAAGTCGGCTGATGGTCTGGGTTTGGGGGCCTGGGAGGGATAACACAAAGGCTCAGCCCTTCTTTACTCCACGGCCTAGAGATTTTGAAATGGACCCAAGTTGGCTCTGCAGAGGGACTGGGAAGCCAGACACTGATATTATAGCAGACTTTTAGAGCTCTGAGCCACGGCCTCTGAGGTGCTTAGGAGCTAAGGGAAAAGCCTCAGGATAGGAACAGACTGCCGGTGCCTGCCGTTCACGACTCACACTTAGACCTCCAGCATCCATATCCAATAGTTTCACGTGATCGGCCCGCAAACCATGTTTCTGAGGACAATAAGGCATGCATAAAAGAACTCCGGAGTTAGGACAGAGCTAGCCTAATGATCTCGGGGTTGCTGTTCCACTTGAGCAGGTCATTTCACATCTTCAAGAATTCCCTTTCTCATCTGCTAAATGAGAAGATTAAAACCTAAGTTCAGTTTTCCTGGGATGACGGGATAAACTGGTGCGTTCAGCCATTCGCTCAGCAGGTTTGTACTGACTTTTTAACTATGTTTGTTCTGTGAGGAAATACAAATCTACACAGACACTGCCCTCAAGGAGTTTCCAGTCCAGTCAGGGAAAACACAAGAGAGAGAGAAAGAGAGAAAAAAAGAGAGAGAGAGAGAGAGAGAGAGAGCACATCTTTCTAGGAAGCCTTGGCTGAAAGAAATCCAAAGCAACACACAGGCAGTAATAACCCAGGGTCTAAAACACACCGAGGACACTTGATCAATGTCAACAGGAGATGAGAGGGACCCAAGGAGAAGGCTCGGAGAGGAAAACCATCTGGTTTGTTCCTCTGCCCTCTCTGGCTGGGAACAACACAGATGCTTTCTTTGCCTGTGGCTCGGGGAGGGTTTCCGCTTCTGATTATACGGGTGGTGGCTGCAAAGAGACAAGAGGTTGGATCTAAACAGTTTCTGTTTATTTTCTTGAAAGGCGTGGAGATATCATTTAGAAAACCCAATGGACTTTTCTATCTCCTTTACAAACTTGTGGTATTTACTGAGGGTGATGCCAGTCAAATCTTGACTTTCCTCCAGAAAGAGTTGACGGAAACTGAATGAACACTCCCCCAACTGGACAGCTAGTTCTTGAGACAGAAGAGCAGGCTTTGCTTCAGGAGAGCAACAGAGGAAGGGAAGAAGGAGGGGTCCTTTCCAAAGCAGGGTGTCTGTTCCCATCACTGCTGGCAATCTTATTGTCTTCTGCTGTTTTTATTTGGCTTCAAACAAACAACTTCACAGCATCCTAGGGTGAGATGCTGGACATAGCTTCGTCCCTAGAGAAGTTCACGTGGTTGTTTAAGAAGTCACAAACCAAGGGCCTGGCAGCAGTGGCACACACCTTTAATCCCAGCACACAGGAGGCAGAGGCAGGTGGATCTCTGAGTTTGAGGCCAGCCTGGTCTACAGACGGAGTTCCAGGACAGGCAGAGCTACACAGAGACAATGTGTCTCCAAAAACAACAACAAAGCACTGACCCAAGAGTGTCAAACATTGCCAATGCAAGGACCAATGCTCACGTAGAAAGGCACGGAGAGAACAAAACTCCTCTCCTGGGGCACTAGAGGGAGCTTACAGGGGCTGCAGACTTGAGCCCACCCTTGCTTGAATGAGTAGAAGAAATTTCTGGGCCCCAGGGACCATGTAATGTGCACCCAAGGAAGATGCAATGCAAGTAAGGATTCCAGTCCTGGCATTCACAAAAGGACAACCATTACAGAATACAGTTTCGAACTTTGCTGCGGTCAGGAAGAGACAACTCAACAGTGAGCAGAAGAGAGAAACGCAGCACAAAGACTAGGAGGGGTCGTTAACATTTACTGAGCCAGCATTACGTGTGCCCGCACTTGAGGATTCCCACACACACTCCTGTGGTCTCACAGCCTACTTACTTGCTGACTGAGCTATGGAGATGAAAGAGGCTAAGTCCCAATCTCCAAGGGGTCCAAAGGCCAATCACAGAGAGCTAGCCTGGGAAGCCACCCTATGTTTCAAAGAGATTAAGGCGATTTAGCAAAGTCACTCTGTCAGTTAATGGTGAAGCTGGACGGCGTTCAAATGACCTGACTAAATCTTGGGTGCTTTCTAGAGTGAGTCACTTAAAACAGAAGCACCCATGAGTATGGAGAAATGAGCTGAAGCTCCCCCAGTAACGCTCATGCCTCTGGAGAGAGAGAGAGAGAGAGAGAGAGAGAGAGAGAGAGAGAGAGAGAGAGG